TCTATCAATTCATTCTTTATGAAATATCCTTCCATCACAATGTTGCTGACATATTTGCAAAACTCTGGACCGCAGGTGTCTATGGTGGGGAACGAACGCACTATTGTCCTTTCCGGGGAGTAACGCGTTCACCATCACACCATGCGGGTCCTTTGTTTCGCTTGTCTCTCAGCTATTTCTATCGATCTTTGCCACAGCAATCACCCGTCAGCGGGATTGATCTGGGGCGCCCAAATCGGCATAGAACCCAGTTAAGCTGCGGCTGTAGTTGAAATCACAATGTTATACCTTTTTATTTTCGATAGAAATAGCTGAGAGACAGGCAAAACAAAGGACCCGCATGGTGTGGTGGTGAAAGCGTTACTCCCCGGAAAGGACAATAGCGCGTTCGTTCCCCACCATAGGCATCTGCGGTCCAGAGTTTTGCAAATATCTCAGCAACGTTGTGGTTATATTTCGCTTAGTACCCTGCCGCGAAATTATAGTGGCAGAAAATAAAAAGGTATAGCATTATCCTTCCATCGTTAGATTTTTCATCGTAGTACAATATGAGATTTGGTTGGTAGATACTTCAGATTCTTCTGGGATTTACTTCCAGTAGTGAAATTCACTGTGAGCTAATAAATTTGAAGTCATGTGTTGTTTTCGTACTTTACGATCGCATTTTAACTGGAATGGTCACAGATGTTATCACAATGTGGAAGAGCAAATCATCGTTAATTTAAGAGCTTAAAGCATTCGCAGCTCAGCTTCCCATTAGCTTAACGCTAGTTTAAAGTTGTAGCACACTGTCGCTACCAGCTAGAGAACACTGAACAACGGCTTAATTGGGAGGTGTAGGTGATAGCATTTCATAAAGTCTGAATAGATGTGTTGGTTGTATTGCACAATACCATATTAAATTATTCACCCCAATAAATATTTATCTATTAAATATTCAGTTTATGAGCTCACTAATGAAAATTCTATATCAATTTTCAAATTTACTCTGGTAACATCTTTCTTTCAAGCGAAAAAGAAAGGGCTATTCTCTGTGACTTTTGTACTAACGAGAACATAGCTGGTAACTTTGTTTATCTTTCGTGGGATTCGTCACCCTCACGCCAATCCACAATGGTTTCTTCCCAGCTAGACATTGAAGTATTACTTTCAGTGGTGTCATTATCATCTTGTGTTCTGGTTCGTTTGGTCTAGGAAGTTTTTTCTTAAGAAGCAAATAGTCTATTAATGTGCTTAGAAACACAGCATTGTTGGTATTTTGCAGCCGCACTGATTAAGCAGATACGCCTCCTGTTTTGGTGCTTCATTGCTGCTTCTAGCCAATGGAGTCACAGGCGATACGGTCCCATTTTGCTTTTCTTTTGACATCTTCAAGTTGTATAATGAGGTTGAAGCTTTCCTTAATAAAGTAGAAAACTCTGGAAATTAATCAGCTTAAGACCTCACCACTGACATCGTTATTGAAACGTGAAACCGTCTCTCCGAACTGAATTGAAACTGCGAAATGAAGTGGACCTTACCTGCTTCTGCTTTATGTATTTTTCGAGGGTGGTTACCAGTTGGTATCAGTATATCATATTTTGGCAGAAGTGGTGTTGAGTTGCGTAATCAAACAACTAACATGTTCATGGGAATTTCAGTGTTCAACAGTACAATTATAATAATATAGCCGATTGGTAAACAATGGATAAGGGAAGTAGTGAAGGACACAACAAGGTTTGGTTGCAGTGGTGAAATGTTGCTCAATTATCTGACCGTGGTGTGAAGATAAGCAGCAGGCAAGGAAGCGCTTGACACTTGTGCATAGTTGGGGCTAGTGCCAAGGAGTGTGTTTATTCTTGTAATCATGTTAAGTTTTGGTGGATAAACATGACGTTGTTATTACAGTACTTATTCATCCACAACACCTGACGTCTCGACGGCTTCGCCTTCCTTAAAGTCCGAAACCGTCAAACTGATACACAATTTGCTCAGCGAAACGCTTTCGTAACGTCAGCAGATAAAACTTCGTAAATTTTATAATAAGCAGCGCCTTTGAAACACTCAGCGTTTTGTTTTTAGTAAATCTTCCAGTTATTTGGTGTAGACAAGCTGCACAGTCTCACATGTGTACGAAAAGTGTCTGGCTCAGGTCAAAAATTCAACCCGAGGTATTACACGAGGTTATGCGTCAAGTTAACTTTCTCCGCTTTGAAGGTTGGTGGAGTGCTAAAAAATTGTTTACCGAAGGAAAAGAGTGAGTGTACCGGTGAAACTACTAGTGTTTTCTCGCGTTGTTGTAATTTTCGCTTAGTGAATTGAGTACGTTTTAAAATATCCGTATCAACTGAAAAGCACAACATAAGGTTGCGCTCAGTGGATTTTAATCCCCTGTATATGTGACACCATAAAATTTTTCTCGGTTATAAAGTATAGCGTTAACATTTAGTGAGGAGGTAGGCAAGAAAGTGACATTGGTTCCGTTCCTTGCACGGAAGCCACACCCTGCACAGGATCGATCCCCATCAACCATGCCTTCTATCCATAAGAAGTCGAGAAAATCTAGCCAGACTTTTCACGTGGAACAGCATTCAACAATATCCATGATAAAAACAAAAACCCTCGAGTAGCAGTCAAACCATCACTGAAAGAAGTCCGAAGACCTTCGTGATTGGTGCACATGAAAACACGAATCGAACGCTAGATATCCCTGCTTTGAAAATGGAATTTGAACATTCTATCTAGTTATGAACGGCAAATGCAGTGTCTTTTAGAAACACTACGACAGTTCAGATTCTCCTGACGACTACACCATCAGTTTTCCGACTATTCGATAATAAAGCCTTTCATCTCTGCTTCATAGTCTATAAGACAATCGAAATCAAAAACACGCTTCCAAAACCGACGACTTTCATAGGATTATAACTGACCAATGAATTCCGCATTCCGTCCTTTCGATAGCAAGTGTTTCACATCGAAAACCGATGTTTCCCTAAGAGGACGAATTCGATTTCTAAGGAATGAGTAGACTTTCGGCGGCAGCAAGCTAATTGCTATTCTTTCAATGCTCAATGAAATATATACAGACCGCAACTGCGACAAAAGAAGGCGAGAACCAAGCAAAACCACGGCGTTTTACAAGTTGTGTAATGAAATAGCATAAAAAGAGTGTGAAGATAACCAGTTACATCTAAAGTGGCCCTGAAAATTATCCCGGCTTTCAACAGTATTCAGTAGAAAGGTATAAGCGGCCAACAGTAAAAAACCTGTAGTGAGGGATCAAAATTTTGGCCTTGATGAGAAAGAAATTGTGTTTAGTAGTTTGAAATTTCAATCGAAACTACTTTCTTGATCAGTGGTGGTCTCTTAAAAAGAGAATATTGTGGAAGTTGTGGTCCGCAACAACGAACGAATTACTGTGAAATTTGAGTGAACAGCGAGAGTTGACTGCTAGGAGCATGGAGTTTTACTATTAAAACAAAATTTGTTCATTATAAATATCACAAACATTCTCATTCGTAATGGCGGAGCGAAGAACTCTAGTTACTTCCACTAAGACACAACAACCTCAGCTGAGAAAATGTAGGAATGTTCCTTGCTATTGAGGTCTGCTACAAAATTACGAACGTAGAAGTAATACACTAAACATGTGAATGAGAATGATACAAATTCTACGTGAGCGTTTTGAAAGGATACGTCGAAAACAAGTTGAAAACAAGGAGTTGAAGTGCACTACATTCCGAGTACACGAACGCTGTCAATGAGCTGAACATAACGCGAAATCAGCAAGACAACACCGCAAATGAGGTTTAGTTATTATAAGGCATAGAAGAACCGTAAAAGGCATGATAACTGGCATGAGTCGCTGAATATAACCACTAAACGAATACGAAAAATGGAAACGAAGCATTTAAACGTAACAATTCCAACTAAATATTCACATGATTGCAAGATATGCATAAAACGGAATGAAAATTAGAGCAGTCCCTGTACTGATCGCACGTACCACACGCTAATCATTGACTGGATAGGGAACTTATAAAGTTACTGCCCATCCCTCTTTCTATTGAACCAACACTGCTTATCAATGTGCTCAATTAGGTCTAGGTTCCCAATGGTGAACATCATACTTTTCGTTTGAGTGCCTCCATTTTCACTTCAACAAAGGACTATCCACGGGTGCTCGCAGTACTCCGCCAATCGTCCCCTTACTTCATACACTTTATAAAAGTATGCGCGGTCACTTGAATTCAGACACCGGGTCGAATCGATATACTGGACGCAAGTCACGTACATAGTCATACATAAGCATGCATTAATGTGATTACGCGAATCTTCTAGAGCATTCCGGTGTGCATCAAAGGTAGGAGTTCACTCCTACAGTGCACCTGCGTGCCCGACAGCGAGTAAATGTCGGTTTTACTCCTCAATAAATCCGCTGTCGTCTACCTGGCAATGTGTCACAACGCCTAACCAAATGGAGATCTTTGAAGACATATGTTCACAGTATATTATATTACAGCATGGTATAGTATAGTATACCGTACCATAATGTGTTATAACATAACATAGCACACTTTTCGCTACTACAGCACAGTGAGAGTACTTCTCCAACGACAAGCCCTAGTATAAAATTTATGTTCGACAAACTGTCTACTGACTAGAAAAAGTCTGCCAAAAAAAGATTCTGTGGGGCAAAATAGACCAGCAAAAGGCGTGCGCATTGAAGTCGAGATCTACGGTCCGAAACGCTCTGTAGCCTGCATATTGAAGTCAATGAGCATAGATGTAAAAAAAATCATTAACAGCACATACCTAGGCAACTTGTAAAATCCAATTTCCTAGAAGAATCTGGTAATGGAGATAAGATGAAATCACTTTGTGTAAAAAAAATGACAACGACGCATGTCAGTAAACTTAAAACAAGAGCCTGACAGTAAGACAATGACGTCAGTCGCATGCATAACAACCAGCAACTACAGACACGCTTCTTGCATATCTTTGCGTGTTTCATAACGCGTTTATATATGTGGAAAGGTAAAAGACAGCAGTGCGTGTCTCTGCACTGGCATGCGAGCAAAAAAGACAGACCAGAACTCTGAAAATGAAGGAACATATATCTATCGAAAACGAATTTAAGGAAACAAGAAAACTTCCCAATCTCGCGAGCTACCTGGGTACTCTCAGAATGCTTGGTCCCATCAGGATCTCCGCTGTCAGCACCAATAAACGTCTTACTTCCATTCATTGGATGCTCATGTAGGACTCGCTCACGACACATGTCACACAAATCAAAATCCTGCGAGAAAACTAAGCAATAAGCAAAGAAAAATAAGAAAAATGAAGACAGTATTCTTATATCTGCTAGCTATTTCCGTTTGCCTTAGTTTTCCGCTTCTTGCTTTCCGCTTAATGGAACTCTAATTGGTGATTAACTTACATCACACGTTGTACAATGCCATTTGGCAGTAGAACTACTGCATTTGTTACGTGCATAACCCATATTCCTATATGCGTCCGACTCGTGCAGCACACGACATAACGCCATAGTTGAGAATCTAGAAAGAAAAATTGGAAACAAATAGCCCTATCAATCAGGCAAAGGATTCCTCCGAAAGTAGCAACCACACTTGTAGAATCTCGATAGATTTCATAACTTGTTAAAGTAGGATTTCAGAAAAGCCAGGAAAGAAAACATGTCAAAGCAAAAATTCTGAAGAAAAAGTACATTTGCAAGCCGTCTTTTAAACCGCTCTTTGTATTCGTTGACAAGAGCAGAACATTCTGAACCACTGGCTAGTGTTGGTGTAGGGATCTATCAATAACATTATCTCTCGATACACCTCAAATGAACCTGTTCTAAGCGGAAGCATGGTTCCTGACTCAAATGCTTTCAACGTACGGATTCAGAAATGCTAATATTAGCAAACGTATTCACACAAAATTTCCAAGCGTCTGTGTTTTCCTCAATACCACCTACTTTGCTCTCCTCAATGAGCTAAACTCCCAATGTTCAACACGTGCTCTTTCCAAGAACGTGTTGCGGTCGTCCATCATATCTGATGCCACAGGTGGATCCGGGTCAACAATATCGGGCAGTAAAAGAGCGGACTGATGTGTCACCAGCCGAATCGTGAAGAACGCCTAAGGAATATTGAGTTTTATCGGTGAAAAGCACAACGTTGATACTTCTGTAAAAAGGAGAAGGATGAATGTCCTTAACAGGCAGATATTTGCATTGGTTTACAAAACAGGTGTTTATTAGGACTACAGAATATTCACTGGAACAGTTCTAAAACAATACTTCTAAACTCTGAAGAACAAGAACTAGCGGAAACGTAGGAGATAAAATGCATGTTAGCAACCCTAGGTCAACTCAAAAAACAGAGTTCCTGAATTATAAGGCTAATCAAAAGTCGGTCTTTATAAATCCTATTAAATCCATTATTTCAAAAAAAAGAAGCGAAAAGTATGAAGTGCGTGACCAAAATCTACGATAACCCAGAGCAAGTGGTTTTTGGAAAAATACCTTAGGATCAGAAATAACTGAAAGTCATTGAACCTCGACTTATATTGCTAGATGAAAACAAACCTCTTTATGTTTTTCAAGCTCCGAACAGAGTTTAGCGGCCACCTCCCTATCAAAAGAACTTCCATCGTTCTTTTCATTCGTCTTCGAATTCTTCTCAAGTGCGTTGGTCTTGTTACTTGGCCTGCAAAAACAAGTGAAAAAATAACCCTCTCCACTCTCACACCATTTCTAGTTCTCTTTAAATGACTACATATCAACAACCATTATTATAATTAGAGCAAGTGACCGCAAATTTGGAAAAAAAAACTAGGAAGTGGAAAAGAACAACAAAAGCGCTCCAATTCTTCATACCGCTTTTTCCTTCTACTTTCAACCGACTGAAATGTGTCACCCTCATCTGCCTCCGAAACTTCTTCACGACGCCGAGCGTTCTCATCACTAACCTCACTAAAAGTACAGTGGAAACATTCGAAATTATAAAGAAATTTGCCTCAATCAGTTAACACTGAACGAACCGTATACAATCTTCAATTACATGTGGCCAGAAATCGCCCTCAAAATAGGGTAAGCTCATTGGTGTGGTAAAATTACCATCACAAGCCTGAAAACAATCTCAGAACGAAGACGATGACGTCAGCAAGCCTTCACCTAACTCTAATTTCAGCTCACTTGCTTGTAAATGTCCTTGAACTCGACGATCGTTTTTTCAGCCACACCCTTTTCTAACATTTTTTTGTACCACTCCTTGAAAATAACGACTTGATCAAACGCATAAGTTGTTTTTAGAGACAAAAAAACAGCAATAAGCTTTGTCAATTACCCGCAACCTCTTCGGCTTCGGCATCTTTTGCTCAGGTGGGTGGCAGTTAAAGATGTAATCAACACCGTCAGACGGTGGACATGCCCAAATATGAGCCATCTTGTATCCAAGCTGTTTAATGTAGCTAAAGGTACAAAATATCTTCGACACTTGTGATGTCGCAGCCCAAACTGAATACGCAAAGAAAACTTGCCGATAGAACTCACTCGAGATATCCCAGCAAGATCTCTTGGTACCGCTCCGATCTTAATTCTCTTGGCTGGAAAAAATTCACGGAATCCAAATAAGATATGTATACTCGCCTAAAACAACTGTTGTATTACGTAAACGACTACTTTATATTTAATCGTTAATGCTTGTCACGTTTTATTTCATTTCATTGCACGAGTACATATTATACCACGTCCATATAGACCGACTGACCTTGAATTTGGCTGCTTACAGTTGGTTCCGTATTCTTGAACATAGAGACCGAAGAAACACACTTCGACATTGTCTATAGTCTCAAAAGCAAAAATGGCCTTCCTTCTGCATGAGAAGTGGTCCGGAAATCCCTGGGGGCCATACCTGAATGTCCAAAGTTGAAAACTACTTGATAGTTTTAATGAACATATTAATAATTTCAAGTTACAGAAGCATCGACAAATCCTGAGAACCGATAGAAAACCATAGAAAAAACAACTACTCAGAGACTCACCTCGCTTTCATCAACGGCTTAACTTTGACTTCCTTTTCCTTAATACTTAACGTTCGAATTATCACCACATGTTGATCGAAATTATTTGGCAACTTATTCTTAAGGAAACCCTTTACCTGAAACATTCAGTTCACTACCAAGGTTGCTTTCAACTGATTGCGAAAAATCTCCCGGTTCACTAAACAACCCGAATCACAATGCCTTCAATGAGCACTTTTTCGAAGAGGTTTCATTACTACTACTAGTGAAAAATCTTTGATCTGGTACACATGCTTCGAAAACATTGCAACCACATTTCAAGCCTAATCGAAACGATCCTACTTGGCTCTCCTAAATTTCACTTTCGGTCTGAACGAAGCGACTTATTTAACAAGATTAACCAAAAAGAAGAAAAAAAATGCATTATTCTTACTTCGTGACAAATTGATTCCTAGTGACATTTTTTTTTTCGGTGATCTAAACGCAAACGACAGCATAATATAGGCAACAAAAAGTCTGCATTTAGGCATTCGTAGGAGCGCGAAAAAGTAGAAATATCCACACACCCTATCTTCCAAGAACCGTGAGAGCCTGTTATGCCGCAATCTCTTTGCTGTGAAATGATTTCCCGGTCGGGGGCAGCATCTCACTTTCCGACAGATGTCGCAAACGAACCCATCTGGGATCACCTAGAACAATATGGATCTGAATAAACCAAAAAAGAGAAGTGGTCAAAAACGAAAATTAAACTGAAAACGACCTAAATGACAGCCTTGGAAAAAAGTAGCTGAAAGAAGAGTAACTTACTTTTGGCAAAATTTGTGTTAACTATTAATAGTTATTATGGACATGTGTGGAAGTATTCCTCAGACAGTTTACTGGCTTACCGTAGCTGACAGGTGTTCCTGGGTGTCAAGCTTTGTACAGCGGAGGTTCCACCTTCAGTAGGATCTCCCAAGTGCGAAAGAGTCCAAAGTTTCCATCCGGAAACACACCTAAAAGTAAACCATACCAGGTGCCACCACCGTCCTGGCACTAAACTAGTCGCATGCTAGCAAATCTTGCAATCCCTCTGAAATCCACAAGCATGGCGACTGTCTGGGGGGGGGGGTAATGACTCGACCAAGAATAAGGCTAGGCTGACCTCAGGAGAACCACGATGGTTAAACCAACAAATCTCCGACCTCGGTACCTCGCACACCGGGTGCTTCCGTCACCGAGGTCGGGCGGTGAGAAAACCAGTGAGAGGCGATTAAACCTGGAATTGCAAAAGACACCACTGGAAACGGACATGAGCACGCCCACTACATACCATGGAGATTGTTCCTTGCTCCGCATCTGTAACGCCAAAGCAGTCTCTTGAAACGCCGATCAGTATGCTCTTCTGGAGAGCGCTGGCCGCATCAAATTCCTTGTGATCGCCGTACAAGAGACGAAAAGCAGGACGCCCAAAACATGCCTAATAGGTGACGAACCTTGTCCATAGGTGGAAGGAAATTTTCTCCCCATTCGTGGACGGAAGGCTCTACTACGAAATGTCGGAGCCGTGGGCTTCGTCGGACATTCGTCTCTTTTCTGCCTAGCGACCTCGTACGAAATCCCAATATCGCGCTTGGCCATTCTTCGCCTTCAACTTCTACTTGAAAAAAAGTCAGTATTATGTACTGCTAGTCATCAACTTGGAAAGCAACTTAGAGCGGATTACATCCATTCTACAACAAGTTACAGAAATCAATCCACAATGAGAAGTCATCCTATAAATTCGTTGTTGAATTCAACGCCAGATTAGCAACGGCGAACGAAAATGAATACAGGATAGAGAAATTTGTAACAGGAGAAAGAAATCAGAAAGGAAACCATCTTGCCAAGCTTCTGTCCGGAATATGTCTCTTCCGTGGAAATTCATTTTTCCAAAAGATAGAAGATCGCCGATGAACATGGGAGTATATTAACGGCACGACTTATACGGAGACCAATCATATTCTCAAAAACAGAAAAGGGTGCCTCTTTGACACCTCAGTGGCACCTTGATTCTGCAAGGGATCTGCTCATCGCTCCGGCGCAAAGATTCGATCCTACCATAAGCCGGAAAAGAACATTTGTCATCGTCCAAAAGGAAAAGAAAAGAAAAAATACTTTGTGAGATAAGGATATTCTCAAGAATTCCTCTTCTCATGTGACCAGAAGGTAAGTGAAGACCCGACTGAAGACTTCACGCTGATTCTTGAAGGACTTAAAACTAGTGTCCAACTAGCCTTATTTTTTCAAACAAGGAGTTCACACCGCATCTCCATTACCATTAAGGAGTTGTTCAAAAAGAGAAGGACAAAGAAGCTTGATCCCATTGCAACACACCTAATACCTAACACATCTAACTAACGAAAGACGTCAACTGTAGAGGACCTTTGGTGGAGGATTTACATCGGTAGGGCAGAAAAAGTTATTGGAAGCAGCTCAAAAACGATCCAGTCCGAAGAAGTGCCATCAAGATCCTTGCGACAGCAATGCCCCGCTATACGTTCTGATCAGTGAAGAACAGACTATAACTACATTCCATTATAATATGGAATTGATGACGAAAAGATCCTAGACCAATCTTTTCTGCTCCACAATCGCCATCTGGAACCTCGCAATTCTGACTGGTGAAGAATCGCACGGGATTCTACCCTCCAAGGTTCGACTTGAGATGGGAACATGAATAGAAAGATAGCTCCACGATCTGATAATATTACTGCCGATTTCCTTAGATCTGGTAGCCACAAATTACATGTAGTTCTAGCAACAGTCACGCGACATCTTACCATCAGAAACAAAAGCTCAGACCAGTGGATGATATTGCGTACGGTTATCCTACCTAAAAGTGACGAAGAGATCCTTTTAACTACCGTCCAATATGCTTATTTATTGTGCACTATAAGTTGTTCACGGACATTATTCTTTTGAGCATACTGAAAACTTTGAATGAGACACAATCAGTTCAGCAAACAGAATTTCGATACGGATTCTGCTGCATGGACCACATCCAACCAGTATCACGAGTCATAGAAGTCAGTTGGGAGTGCCATCTGACCATATCCTAACATTTATCGACTATGAGGAAGCGTTTGACAGCATTGAAACGAATAAAATCCTATCAGCGTTCGTCGACAATTCCACTCGTCCTACGCAAGAACTGCATCAGAACTGATTGCTACGGAAATGCACTACAAAAATGCAGCTTTTCCAACGACTTCTGAACTTATCCGCAACTAAGAACTCATATAAAATACTTGAAGTGAACTGAATCAATCGAAACGAAACAAAAATCATAAAGCGCACTTGTTCCCGATGTCCACCCATATACCCTAGAACGTCAGTGTTAAGTGTATTGAGGGCTTTGAAATGAAACCGTGACCAAGCAATAAATCCAAGAATGCTGCAAAGCTGAGCAGCTGAAACAAGAAAGCTATGACAATAGTGGAAGCTCAGGCGACTTGCCCATCCACGGTTTACAAAGAAAACTCTTAAAAAAAAACAAGGCCAAGCCAGCACCCGGTTATATGTGAAGCGTGGGACGAACTACCATTAACATCATTCAAAGAAGTGTTCCTCTGGAAGAACAGACACAAATGCTCGTCTCCAGATTTAATTCAAGTGAGCAAACCCACATACCAAACATGCCAACTAGTATGTCGTGACATCTAAAGAATTCCGATAGCTTTTACTTTCATAATGCAAACCTTTTCGTCGTGCAAGGCACATATGCTATGCTATTTGCTGTGGCAGTATTTGCATATTTCGAACGGCTCGTAGTCAACGGCATTATTTTTCATTTGCACGAATTTGTCCTTCGGTGCCATATTTGGCTGGTCGTTTGGGCTCTCAAAAAGTAAAATGCCGTCAGGTGGCAAATTCTCGAAACATTCCAGACAGTATGTGTAGCGCTTCGACCCTGTTTCATCATCCTGAGAAGTGTGTTCGTACCTGAAACGATTAGACACACTACTTCTGTCGCATGCACAATTCAGCATTTAATATACCATTTAACGCATACATAACCTTGTGTGGGACATGACTACCCCATAAACGATAAGATGACTCAATGCAAAGATTTTACGCAATACAGAAAGTGTTGCTGAAACCCATTCGAAACAGACACTTTTTATAATTCCCCACAGCACTGACCATTTAAAAGATGATGTTTGGTGTTTCGGTTAAAGCAAACTCATGTTTCAACCGTACTAGTGTAGGATAACGGATAAAGCTCTCGGATTTGATCAATCTCTTGGAGATACGCCATGCATTTGACTTCACTAAGCATCGTAGAAGGTGACTGAACGCTTATCTCGCCCTTATAAAGAATCTCTCTGGCCCATCGATATATCGCGTCAGTGCTCCTATCGTGCCAGGCAAGTCTGGTACCAATCTACTGAACTCGGAGGGATGGAAGGCTTGATGAGTCACGGGAGCTGGCATCGAACCCATGTGTGTAAACCAGGCGCCTTCAAACTGCGCCACTCGCTCCCCTGTACTAGCGCAGAACTTGATCAAATGACAACAAATTATACGGCTGTAGAAATGACAAACTTGTCAAAAGTTCATTATTGAACACTTACACCCAATAACGGTGATTTCGAGGTATTCTGCACCCCGAACCGCTCTCACAGAACAATAGCAGTGGGGTAAACGATAACTTTCGTGAACAGCAGTAGCCCAAGTGTTGAATAACCGGATCCATTTCTCTCACAAACTCTTCGCTCAACTGAAATAGTCCAAGACAATGGTAAAGTTCCAAAAGAAAAACTCTCTGGGTACACAAGCACCTATGGGAGAACTGGAATATGAAAACTCCACTGGTCGCTTTATAAACTGAGACGATTTACCATTGATAGTCTTCAATATATTTAAAATTTCCCTTACTCAATATCAATTACATCATAAGCATTGGCTACTTCGCGACATGATTTAACAGTTCAGAAACCTCCGGAAGCTGAAATATTTACCTTTGTACAGTCTTCATACACCTTGCTCTTCTTTGCGTTGTAAATCCAAGCGTTATCAAACATCAGCCACATATCATCACAGAGCTCCCAAGGATTTTTATACAACCCATTATCCAACTTCAGAGATATAGTCAAAAGATCCATCGGGTGCCTTATTATACGATTATAATTCTGAAAAAAGAAACATATGGCCGAATAGCACTAACGTTCGGTTCTTAAACAAGAAATAAACGAGTGACGTTGTTCAAGAACTTAAAGGCTGAAAGTGAACAAGTCAACAGAAGACACAGATATAGCATTGATAGACAGATTGCTAAAATTAGAGTTCATTTAAGCGATATTCATGTTGCATGATAGTCACCACTTTAACAGTATCGAAAACACTTTCGTCTTTGTCTGCAGCAACTTACGCGAAAGCTTGGTAAATTAGGATCAACAGGCATACGAAAAGGAACAGCCTCCTTAGTCCAATTGATCTGGTCCCACACTGGCCGCAAATAATGGCTAAACAAAGTGCTATTAAATCGAAAAATAAAAATTTAAGCTTCCCACGGTTCTAAAGAAAAAAAGAAGAATGAAAGATAAAGGCCACCTACCTTAACAGTTTCCCGTCAAGAATGGTGTCTTCTCTAGGTGGAGGGTTAGGATCTCTCTCGACAACCTCTTTTTTTGCTGGTGTGGTAGAATCTAAAACTTTTGCCGTTGCTTTCGTCTTTCTTGAGGAATTCAATGCACAGGCGGGTTCTCTACTTGATGGTCCAGGGAGCGCTGAAAAATAAAAATGGGTGCATTTTCCATTCCACTGTTCTAACACAGATCCAACCTCAGCACCCTTCCTTAACCTTTGTTTCATGACCCGATTTAGTTGCATTCCAAGGAAGGCCGTTTGATGATGAGACACTTGTCGAGCACGAAATCGGACCAATAACGTGGTATGTGTCCACTGCTTCCACTTCAACCTAAAATTCAACGTCAAACATCGAAAATTAGTATGAAACCTAACAATGACTTGTAACAGCACAATCGCAACGTGATTGCAAAAACTAAAGAAAAGTAAAGATTTATTTAAGTAAACTAGAATGAGGGGCGGACGGCACAGTGGGAGTGATGCCCGTCATCACGGGCATAGTGCTAGTTCGATTCCGCTCCAGGCCAACCAAGCCTCATGTCCCTCCACGGACGGGGGATTGGTACCGGACTTGTCTGAAAAAAAATCACTCTCTGAACACAATTGGGGACGATCCAGCCCGGCTATCTCAGCACTCCACGGAGAACTGCCCAACCAGCATTCTACGACATTCAAGATGAAATGAAAATCCTCAAGCAGCAACCGAAGCTACCCGTAAAAGTTGGAAGATCTTCATAGACAATGGATGCGAGGAAACGAATCGAATGTGAGGAATGCTGGTATCCGCATGGTAACCGTGAAGACGGGTCATATTAAAAAAATAAAAGAAAATAGGGATGGGGACCTACGCACACTTCATGAAAACTACAGATAATTTCGTTAAGAACATCACACAGCTGTGCAGAAAACAGAACTCTAACGCTCTAAACCCATTTTTAAGTTGCTCTTACAGAATTCCTGTGGGAATTTTCAACGCAAGAGCTCACAATGATGACGCAGTCCGATCCAATATTTCATGTTCTTTGACGAAATCCGGCTTTTTTCTTTAGTCTCTTTGCTGTTTTACACGAGAGAAAAAAAGCGAAACGAAAAAAATATTTCTGCCTTGCAAAAAGTAGCAACCTCATCTTAACAGAATGAAGAACACCTGAACCTTGCTATGGAAAAATGCAAAAATACGAAGAACTTTACTTTAATTTGTAGTTAGCATACAAAGTAATCAGCTTTCCACTAAAATGCTTTAATAAACCTACCGCAGTGAAATAAACTTGTAGCGCGTAAAATGAAGAAAGTAGATGCCGTCACACTCACTAGTGGTGTCCCAACCGCTGATCCACGATTACTGCTCGACTGCCGTCGACTGAATCCCTGTAGTGCTCCTGGATTGGCCCGAGCCATCGATGTTGGCGACCACAATCGGCCTCCACCACTGACTCCTGTCCACTTCGCACCGGGTTCCCGATGTTGATTCAACGGTCGTTGAGAATGAAGAATTTGTTGCTCGTGAGTGTTTGCTTCCTGAAGACCAGCACGAAGAGGAGTCGAACGCGCAGTTCGACTCGATGCATTCGGTCCATCCATGTCTAAATCGGCTATTGAACCAACCACTAATGCGATTGCTTCATTTATTCATGTGACTGTATAACTGTATATATATATATATATATATATATATATATATATGGCTTCGAGTTTCGATAATGATGTAGCATTGCAAAACTCGTATAAGCCACAAATACCAAAATTCTTCCCCGACTGAGGTTGCTTTTGATGCGCGATATATAAGAATGTCTCATAATCGTAATTACGCGAAGAAATCTACATTGCAGTCACACAACTTAAGATCAAGGATCTGAATGGAAAACAACTAAATCTCTAGAGCCTCACATTCTGAACAACCGCTGCGCCGCTTCTGCTGTAGCCGTGGCTTTCCAGCTCTACAACCACCGGCAGCAACACCGACACCTCCATCAACTCGAAGTCCAGAATTCTTCTAATCTTGACGGCCTTGTTGAAACTCGCATATTTTCTGCGTAAGCAAGTGATAATACTCCTCCTGCAATGATGAGGCTCTAGAGCGTTAAAGTTCAAAGCAATAAAACTGGAATAAAACGACTGACGAAACAATAAGAAGACAGACAAATGAATGTTTTTCACCACTAATCTACACATGGTACAAGTGGTGGACACAATACAGCTTTTCAATTGAAATAGGCACATTTCCTTTACCATTTCAGTTGCTTTTCTTTTGTGAAGAAATGGTGGATGGAATGCAGCTTTTGGTTAGCGCAGATGTACCCCAAACGCCATTTTCGTTACTTAATTAATCCAATTTTTGAACAACAAAGAACGACCTACTCTAATTTTAAGGATCTCATCCTCTGCAGTGGTTCATCGTCTCATCATGAACCCTCTGTCGAGTGATAATGTGCAGTGGAGTTGACGATGAGACAGACGCAGCATGATCGCCCAAATAAAAAGTGGGTCTCGCACTTTCATGGATGAACGTGAAAATGGATGTGTATGTGGAGAAGTGCAAAATCTCCGATATACAAGAGAAGATCAGTGCCTGCAGTAAGCACCTCGAGCCCTCGTGCGACTCTTATTTCGAGTCGCCCTTCAGAAAATAAACGAAAAGCACGCCGATCTCAGTACTTCTGTTCCCAAAATTGGCCATCCAAGTAAGGAATCGTTCTGTCAATTCCAACCACGTATAACTTAACGGCATAGTAAATGAAATTTGCCACTTTCACAACTCACTTTATCGTTAGCTAACTCGAACGTGGCCGTTTCCACTTTTTGAGCAGTATTGATGGCGTCACGAATCCGCTGATTGTCGGTGACAATTGGACCCAGCGATAAGAAGATCGTCTTGGCCAGTCTCCCAACAACATGATCACGAAGATCACGACTCGTCTCCTGATGCCATTCCTTAAATAAAACACATCGCTGATTACTTCTGAAGTGCATAACGCCGCATACTTCAAACAACAGAGATGAACTACCAACTTAAGACACTGTCAGAGAAAACGTACCTTAAGCGTTCCCATGGGGACCATTGCCATTCGAGTGAACAATCAATCTGCAAACGCAAAGAAATGAACTATCACCTTATGACCGACAGAGAAAACGATTTAACGAGAAAATGAAGAAGCAACTTGCAAACACACAGAAATGAACTACCAACTTATGACGTCAGAGAAAACGTACCTTAAGCGTCTCCATGAGAAGGGTCGATGCTCGAGTGAAAAACGAACGTGTAAGGACAGGTTATGACGACGCGTTAAGACAAGCAATTGATAAGGAGGATGAGCGGCTTCGCATTCGCCTTATGATTCTCAGCACTTCAAAGCCATCAACACAGCGACCATGCTATAATGCTGGATTCAACATACGGCTATAAAGTCCCATTCCATCATAATTCTTCCGCCAAACCCATCATTTACTGCTTTCAGTACGAACTAATGATAAGAAAACTACTGAAGTAAACGAGAAAATTAAGCTCTCAAAAAGGACTCTACTGTGAACGAGAATTGGGTTCAATAGAGTTTGTTCTTGACCACTGTAAGAAATTTCGTAGAGGCAAAACAGAAATGTATTGTTTGGGAAGGCCAGCGAACGGAACGCATCGCTAAACCACAAGGTAAGTTGTCAGCTAGCGCCGTTTAGTGAATCTCGGTCCGAGTTGTCGATTGGTTTTCGATGACACTCCTCTCTACGACTGCACTAAGAGTCCATTCCTTGCCACCAATAGGCAAAACGCAGTTTGAAATTGCTCTTGAACACAAACCGGCAAGAGTGGAAAAGTTAACCCCCTGATTTAAATCTTCATGCAGATACGTCCCAAGCCTGAAGACAAGTACTGAAATGTTCGGCTACTCACTTTATTGGAGGTCCATAGTCGTTAAGTATTTCAGCAGCCGACATGGGTCCTCCAAGCGGTCCATCAGGACCAGGACCACTGGTGTCTGTGCTACAAATGACCAGCACCAAGGCGCCGACTCACATCTTGCTAAATGAGTATCACTAACTGGATGACCAACTAAGTACCACATTGGGAGATCCGCCACCATGCGTCTTTGATGCCACCAGGACGGTGGCAGATCCTGGTATTGGTTTACTCTTAGCTAGGCTTCCTGATGGAAACGCCGGACTCCTTCTCAGCTAGGGAGATCTTGCCGGGGGAAGAATCCCCCCGCTTTACACCGCAGTCCGACACCCAGGTACACCTCCCAGCCACGATGAGGCGGTAAACCGTTGGGAGGTTCGGCACTTTGTCCTCACGAAAAGATGGCGCAGCATCGACGGAACCTCTGTACATGTGTTTGTGGTATACAGAAGGCCTGCACGTCCCTGAAGTGCACATTTATGAGTAGCCAAACCACATCCTTGAGAAAGGACACATTCCCATGATTTTGTTTTGTCGCCGTTGTTGTAAACGTTTATTTTGGTTTACACTGTTCCACTTTCAGAGGAAAGGTATATGGAAGTGTTTGTAGGATGTAGCGGGAGGTAGGCGTAGATAGAGTGCGCATCCTTCGTTGTGTGGAGGACTTCGTCGGAGAAATGCGTTGTCCTGACACACATTTTTATAGCGCTTTACTGGTTTTGTGGATCTTTTACTAAGAACATTTACTTAGCTGTAGAACTTTTTGCAAATTCTACGATTAGCAGCTTTACAATAGTCTGCAATACATTGACCATTTTTGCGTAAAACTTCGAAAAGTTCGGATAGTGAAACCTCTCTGTATTGAATGTAGAACACGTACAATAGTAGACAAGGTATATATTCGTAGTCGAATCTATGTTCGTCACCAACATTCCCTTCCTACCTGCAATCGCATCACCTGTATCACCTGTAGTCCCGTTGATCGTCGAGTGACTCGAGCGGGCGCCAGTAAATCTTCCATTTTTCCCCGTCACGTGCAGGAGTAGCCCAATGGTTTCTGCTCGCTCTAGAGACTCGACGAGCATCGTATCCTTCTTCTAAACTCTTCGTGAAAAACCCTGACCATTGGGTCGGTGGTCCTCCCGCAGCACGTTTGACACCCCGAGGAATCCAGTCGCTAACGGCAATTGTCATATCCATTATGCGTCCGGCGCACCTTATCTTCGACTGTTCGGCGTACAGAACGGCATCCTTGATTTTTGATCGTTGAAGCAGGACGGAGCTTCAGATCCCTTCCCTTACTTGTGTGAAACGGGGTACTCTTAGCATCGTGCTTTCGACTGCGCGTTCAGTAACACTGAGTGATCTTTCATCCTGCTTACGCAGCGACCAGGTTTCTGGCGCATACGTTAGGGCAGGAAGTACCGTTGAGTCGAAAAGGTGGGCACGGAGTCGGGTGTTCTTCGTTCTTTTCACTACATCCTCGATGCTCTTGAAAGCTCCACAAGCCGCTCGTTTCCTTTTGCTCCCTAGAAAGACATAACTGGAGCATTTGGAGATATTTGTTCCGCTGAGCGTGAATGGGGCATACGAAACTAATCCGTTCCTCATGAACAGTGAGATGTAGTCGGAGACCAATCTTTCCACATGCTTCATCAAAGTCGGCAAGCATTCGTCGCGCTTGGCTAATGTTTAGCAAGCAGATTGGGCGATTGTGGCCGATATTGTGAAGGTCACACTTTTTGAACATTGGGACGGTCTAGCTGGTCTTCCATTGAAAAGGAACCTTGTATTCGGACAGGTAACGTGTGAAGAGCCGAGCCAGTGTGTTTACGAGGCCTGGCGTAAGGTTCTTCAGGCGTTCTGGTCTTGTGCTGTCCGAACTCGGTGCTGTTCGATTTTTCACCGACGAAATGGAATGTCAGACTTCGGAAGGAAGAACCGGTGGAACAACATATCCATCCTCCTTTATTTCATCTGACGGAACATGGACGTGGCTATCGATGAGATCTGAGTAGTATTCGTGAATAATTTTCTCCATTGCCTTTCCGGACCTTGTAACTCTTCAGTCTAGGCGTCGGAGTGCAATCATCTCGGTCTTGTAATTGGCGAACTTCGTTGGGCTTTGCGAATGCTTTGCTCAGCCTCTGCAGCTTCGACCATTACTGCTGCTCTTCTCCCTTTGAGGTCTTCTTTTATCGCCTGTCTGCATAGTTTTGGAAGTTCGTACGTTAGTTCGGAGTTGGCTTCAGCTCGTGCGATTCCACGCTAGCGTATCACCTCGAGTGTTTCTGGAGACAGACCTCTCTTGGTGACTTTCGAGCTCTCAGCTTTTATAGCGCTAACGTGAAGGTGTTAAATGAGCCGATCGCATTCTTCGTTGATGTTATCGACAACGGCATCTTTCGAACAGCTGACTAATAAATTGAATAAATCCCAGTTTACGATAGTTCTGGAACTTCGGTTCTGGAATTAAGCGGCTTTTTCTCCTTTCCGTGAGAAATAGAATCTTGCACGAAGGAGACGATGGTCTGATCCCGTGTAGAATTTTGGGATAACAGCGACATCGGTTAGGCAAAACCTTCTATTTACTATGATGTGGTCTATTTCGTTGTCGTACTCTCCATTGGGAGACTCCCATGTCTAGCGTTGAGAGAGGAGATTCTGGAATTGCGAATTAACATGGATGATCTTGGTTACCATGATAAACTCAGATAGCCGATCACCTTGTTCGTTCATTTCTAATCCATGGGTCCCAATGTGACGCTATTCAGACGTTCTCCTTGTTCCAGTCTTAGCGTTAAAACCTCCAATGATGACCTTGAAAAATGTATGGCCTTCTCTGTAGAACTTCTTCAAGTCCTTATAGAACCCTTCGGCTTCTTCTTCATCATACTTTAATCTCGGTGCGTAAACGACGAAGATTGTGAAAGCCGGTATTGATCCACATTTTTTCAATAGTAAACGTACGACTCGGGTTGTAAGCTGGTCGAATGAATCGGTGTTCATGGACTAAGTCGTGTTGGCGAGAATGCCGACGCCGCCGACTCCTCTACTGTCGCATGTTCCGAGGAACAGTTCTTCTCCGGTGTCATAGACAGCGTTGAAAGGCTGGCGTCTTCTCGTCTCGGCCAGGTCGATGACGTCGTGCCTTATCCTTCTTGCTTGCATGAGCAAATCTTTTATCGAGGACTCGGATGCAAGTGTGCGTGCGCTTTAGCCATCACTTTAGTCCTGTGCGATTCAGACAGATTAGAATGGTCCTGAGATTTTATCAGATTTTTCGTACTCGTCTTACTTAGCGCTGCCGAATCGGGGGCTCTATCAAGTTCAGTGGAATGCGGCCCGTTTATTTTACTGCGTTTAGCTTTTTGGTAGCCACGTATAGCTTAGTGAGCTTTGCACATGGGAGCTTGGTATACTCATAGGTGGCTTGCCAGTTTTTCTCAGGCTATACAGAGTACCCTATTTGT